GGGGGGGGGGGGATAAAAATAACATTTGATAATTTTTCACGCGCGAAGCTCTTTCGATTAAGGGTGCAAAGGGTTGAAATGGAGTCTAGTACAGTCTTTACCCTGTATGGAGTGCGGAGTGTACAGGCTCGCACGGTCGTTGCTGAAGTTGCTGGGCTATAATAACGTATAAAGTAATTAAGGACATCGGGCGACAGGATGCTGGGTAGATGAGGACCCGGGTCTCTCCCCGTGTAGCAGAGAGAGAATACGCTCTCGAGGGCGGACAGGTTGGGGAATGCGACATTTACATAGTAATTAAATCGCGCCAGCCAGTGGGACCGTTGGGGGAGATACTGGAGCTCGAGCCATTACAGACGCATTAGATTGCGGTAAGCACTTGTTTATGGCGGCTCCCGCACCGCCGCGCCACTGGCGCTACTCGGCCATTCGCCAGCTCGAGTTTCTTTCTGCTCGTCCTTTGTTTTTGCGACGAGGAAAACTCTTGGTCGTGCTTGGAGACGAAGGGGAACGATGGAGAAAATAGACTAAGAAGTAAATAAAAATTATATATTTAAAATTATATATTTAAAAATTGTATGATAATAATGTATATTACAGTTTCATGACGTCACGTGCCGCCGAGTAGGTAATTTTTCACAGTGAACGTATATACATAATTTTAATCAAAGGAAGGTTGGGGAAGGTGGACGAGTAAAGTGTAAAAAGTTAAGGGATGATCGTGATGGAGAGAGGTCCCGGAGGAAATATCCATGGATACGTTTCTCCAGGAATGTAAAATGCTCGAAAGGGATGATCGGGGCTTCTAACCACCAATAATTTCATCCCTCCGCAAGGGGGTGAGTCCTGGGGCCCCGACACGAAATCCCTGGTTTTACTTTGAATACCGCATTGACTAACTTATCTAATCTAATTTAAATGCGGACGGGGGACGCCTGTCCCGTACTTACGGGGGTTGCGCCTACCCTTACGGTCTCTACCGTTGGGCGGGTGGGGACCTCTGTCTCCCTTACTCGCAAGGGTTACACGGGACAGAAAAGCACGAGCGCTATCCCAGGGAAGGAGGGTAGAACCACGGACTGGCGTGTCGAGGAAAGCTAGCTGGGGCGTACAAACCGCTGTGTAACGCACCAAATTGAGTGCTGAATCCGGGATTACATCGGCGGCTTCCTTCGAGCGAGGGAACCAAAGGGTGTCGAGAGGGCTGTGAGATGCCACCCATGAAACCAACAAAAATAGGGGAGGACGAAGAGGGATGAAAAAAAGGAACGAAAATCTCCCAAAAGGAGTCAGCAATCCTAAGGGTAGAAAAAAGAGTCAAATAGTGTGATACTTTCTGTGTATTCTTACAGTGATTGGTCTATAAGAAATATTCAAAATTTCCGCCTTTGCTGGCATAGGGATTTTTCAAATGTCCCTAGCAATAAAAAATTACACAACATTGATCTGCTTGATCACAGAAACACACGCGGAATATCTCATATGATTATTATCAGTAGGAAGATTACGAGTTCTAGTTTATTCAGTTTGTCTACGTTGCGTAACCAGTGCGACTACGGCTTTATCGTGGCATCCCTGCTTGTATAATTAAAATACAGATCAATAGATAGCAGGGTGTATTGTTAACCTCGTATACGATTATATCTATACCCACAGAACGTTCAGTTTGTGAAATTCCCTAGAATGTCGGGCGTCGGACAAACGCTAGTGGGAAACACATAAACCAACATGTGACTGCTCCAGGGCTACCAATCATTCAATCTATACCGCTACGTTTGCCGACAGATATAAACCTCATACCAACCTCGGCCAATCGAATCTCCAGAATATTTTCCACGCGGATTGGCTGAAATAACACCGATACTTCCCTATTTCCCGTACAAACTGCCCACCGGTATTTCATAGACCAGGATCAGCATTGGCATCCCTACTGGTACCAATACGCTTAACTGGAATGTCACAAAAATCTTCACTACTTCCGGTACTCGGTATACGATCTGAAGTCAAATAAAATTTTATTACTGTGCATATATATTTTTTTTATCATACGTCATTATTACTTCTCAGGACTGAAGTTCTAGTAACTTTTTTTTTTCTCACGTATATATTGTGACCACTGAATTCTCTCCTTGGGATATATAAGACGATTCGGTGAAGCAACTACGGGAAAGAGGACTTAACGTTGAAGGGATACAGGACGCAGTAAATCCGTTGACTATAATTGTGGGATTACCAAGATAATTGAATGTCGCGTCAGACGGGAGCGTCGCGACGGCCGCCGTTGTGGACTTGTAAATGTTTTTAATAAAAATGTAAATACATCCCCCGTGGGACAAATGAGCCAATAAGAGTCGTAGCCTTTCTATAGTCGACCAATCGAATACGGTTTCCTATATATAAAATGGCGTTAGATAGGTTATGCACTCGTAGAGGAGTTAAGTCGAAGGTACTTTAGACACGTTATTTGAAATTACTTTTAATGTCAATCTATAACCTAGAATTTTATTATTATTATTATTATTTATATATATATGATTATCCCACGATGCAAATTTCGAATTGCACGAATATATTCGTACTGGCCACGCCCCTGGACTACCATAGGGATGGCACACGCACAAGGGCTAAAGATTATCTACCCCATTCCGCATTGTAATCCAATGAGATATTGTACAAGGCGGAGGAGCGCGGGCTCACTCTGTCTGTTTAATCATGCAATTAATTAGCGTGGGACGCCGACGCCAACGTCAACTTGTTACAAGCGTCTCTCTCTTCGTATCCGATTGCATTGTCCTTCATGACTCTAGTGGTAAAAAAAAATCAAATCCTTATATTCTTCTCTAAGAATCAACACCTGGTCGATTTCTTTAAATGAAATTTAAAAAAAAAATTATCAATACAAATTTTTTGATCACCCTGTATATGTATAATGAAACGTTAAAAATAATTAGGGTGCACATTTTTTACTTGTAGCTTGTAATAAGCGGCTGTGTAATATCATACTGTTGACTAGTATCAGGGCCGTGTCAAAGGGTGACTTTGGTTTATAAAGCAAACCTACGGATTTCCGTTCTATATGAAGCCGATTGGCGGTTGTCGATTTCCAGGGAGTATCACGGATTTACGCGAGGACTCGTCAGGCGCAAATGTTTGCATCGTCCGCGAGAACGTTGACGTTGATTTATCGAAGTTTTACGGATAATGGGAATTTATTGCCGAGGATTTTTACGCATTGCGTAACGCAGTAACCACAGCATCGATGTATTTAAATCGTCCCACGTCGTTATACGTGCTTTCAAGTGTATATAACATTCGATAACACCTCACTATGGTTTATACATGTCACAATATATAGGTAACTGAATTCATTGTTTTTAAAGAATTTTTTTCATTAAATCAGAATACATTTTTTTTTCCTCTATAGTTCTCGGCAAGGATCATATACCAGCGATCTAATACGGGAGTAGGATCACTGCTTGAACTATAAATCCTGAGAACTGTAAACAGAGGGTGAAAATATTGGGGATAGAGAAGCCAGATTCCTTTCGACTGGTTCGATAAATGCGAGAAAGTCACAAGGCTGTACGCGGTAGCTAAGCATTGAGGAGGCATAAAAATACAAATAGATACAGTCACCCATAGTCATAGTAATATTTAGTAAGAATATCCAGGTAAAAATCAAACAGTAGAAAAGAGTCCCACCGGATGTCCTTGCACCATTGAGAAAAGGATCCCCACGTCTTTGTCCCACAGAACGTAAGAAGATAAAACTAACCTGAAATAATTATTATGTAAACCGCGAAAGTATCCCCATATAAATCATATTGGAGGTTAGACACGAAAATATTTAATGAAATCAAATATAAAAATCAGTACCTGAGAATCGACCGTTGATAAACGAAGAAGTCACGACGGCCTGTCAGGTGGATAGTCGCACGTGAATAATCTTCTAGGATACGAAGTATGTCACTGAGATAAGGAACAAGGGAAGGAAGTAAGGAACGAAGAGAGGTGTCCCGTAATAAAAATGCCCGATATTATTGTAGGCGGACGGGACGTTATTAATGTTCAGTCGACAGGTCGTAAAATGAGCTTGGAAAAAAGGATGATAATGCTAGGTGAAATATAGGGGCTCGTCGTATTAAGCCTCGACGGATCGAGCGGCGGCCACATCTGCGCTGTGACAGCCAGCCGTGAAGAGAGGGAGACGCTTATTAAATTAGTGCCCCGTTCTTTTTAATAATATTCGAATCATCACGCGACGTCACCTTTTATAACCCGCACTTCGCACATTCTCGATCGGAACCATCGACTATGAACAGTCTTAAAAATCACACTGATTTTCCCAAGGGAAATAGAACGGAGCGCCACGCAGCGGCTACTCTACGAACTAAGTTAACTCGTTTCGCCTCTACCGTAAACACGTCAAACTTATTGTTAGTACTAATACCTAATGCTACTTACTGTCTTGTCTTTTCTCGAAATCGGATCCCTAGTTCGGGCGAGCAGTCACTCGACTAATTTGTCCAAACGTTGGGTCCTTTCCTACCGGCCTTCTATTCGGAGTTACCTGAATACAGGATATTTCGTGCCGTTTGTAAGTGCGTGAAACGGCGGAAGTCGAGGGCACGTATATACCTATTGAGCGAACACACAAAAGCTTTTGATCTGTCTGAAACGGAGTACATTGGACTGTTCATTTTGAATGAGGTAAGTCAGCGTAGGCAACTAGAGAAAAAAATAAAAATTCATCATTTAATACGAAAAGTCATGCGGTTCCTCGTTCTACGTTGACTGTATATATACGAGTACACAGTTTAATTACCTGTTCAGTCATCACGAGCGATTAAATTGTTTTTATATACGCAAAGCCTAGTATCTACTATATATATAGGTAACTATTTATATTTTCATTTAGAATATATACAGCCTCCTAGATATCTCACGTATAATAAAAAGTAGACAGAAGAGCATCTGCCGACACGTGTGATCGGTAATACGTCCCTAAACTTAGAAACTATCAACCGCAATAATGTCACCGGTTTTCCGCGCACGCACAGTACCGATCCATCATCGACTGGTTATTATTTAAGCCACGACTCGACGTCATTAATTCCTCATTGCCCAATGACACTGACGCATCGGCCTGAATTTTTTCCCGTCTGTCAGTTCCATTTTTTCCCACCAGGTACTCTCGGGTACATAGCGGTTATGCACATTAAAATTTCCAAGCAGTGTGAACCAGCCCTTAGACTCTTTAAAGAATCTACAAATCAACAGTCACACCTTAACCCCCAAATTTAACGAGCATTAACAATGTTTTACGTAAGAAAATATAATCTCGGGTTATTTAGCACTGTGAAATATTCCAAAAATCTGTTTCACGCTATTTACCTTGACTATGGTGACTATGGTGGCCGTGTTGGCGGGATACTGACGGTAATAACCGCCGGTAGAAAGGGAAACACGAGGGACGAAATGAAGGGTGGAATACTAGTAGGTTAGCCCGTGCCAGAGTCACGAGGAGCAAATTTACTGAATGGGCCAATATAACGCTCGGCTGAGTATCCTGTGTACAGGATGAGCGATAGCTGGAAAAGAGATTCGTTGACTTGAAGGTTTCTACGCTACTGTACGTTCTAGTCCACTATATAATGGCACAGTATAACTATAGACAGAACATATATATATATTCCAGAGAAACAGAATGCAGCTGGTCCTTTTCAGTATCCGTGTCAAAAGCTGCTGTCTGTCGTATTTGGACAGTATTAGCGTTAAATTTCACGTCAGGATCTGTAGCAGCGACAGGACAATAATGGCGATGGAAAAGTCCTCGAAAGTAATGGCCGTACACGTGAATTTCTCGACGTTATAATTACACTTCGTCACTATGCCTGGTTAAGACTCATTGAAATAAATGAGAAATGATACATCCCGCTTGAATTCCCAACGAAATAATTAGGATCCAGTTAGTCCCCGGGTGCGTGGTTTGTAAAAAAAAAATATGTTAAAAAAATGTTGACTTCTGTATATGAAAAGGAATATATATATACGTATAAGGGGTTCCTTTGGTAAGTTACTAAGGGCGGTTTTGTATTGCTCGTACAAATTGACACGTTGGGGTTCGCGATTATGATTATCCACGCATCAGTAAGTCCCGGTCATTCACTGTCTGACTGTGCTAGCAATTTCGTCTCGCTGCACAATAATCATCGTCATAGTCATCGTCGTCATAATAGAACGTCATTATAATGGAGCTGCCTGTGCCCGGGTGTTGCAGCGCACCGGATTCGTTATATATATTAGTTACTATACCTGGGACCTTTTTGTCGCTCTCGCGAAAATTCTACTTCTTGTCCTGTCGTTAATAAAAGTTGATGTGCCGTAAAATTAGGTCTCAATTACATTGGTATATACGAATGGACCATTGGGGATGGATATGTATGTATATATATACTATAAATGTGTCAGATGACAGTAAGTTCAGTTACCAATGGACAATTGAATTTTTCCAATATAAAAATATTCGTATATACCATTGTCTGACCTTTTGAAAATACATATGAGCTAGATACAGGGATCGGATTATTTTTATGATGTAAAAATTTTTAATTATTGTCATTTTTTGAGTGATTTATAGAAGAAAAAAATATTAGACAAGAAATTGTAGTACGGATGCTAGCGTGTAGGCGATAGGAAGCTAGTATCAGCAGAGAGAACCAAGTATCCACATATGTCCAAGGTAACGTACATGGTCGTAGGTAAAGTGAGAATCAGACTCCTGAAATAGGTTCCCTCCAGTGCTTGGTACAAGTCGTTATAGGACACGTTATATATATATATATAGACAGCAGCCATATAGACGGTAGCCAAGTCCAGTTCGCTAGCCAAGCCAAGAGAGGCGAAGCCAGGGCCAGCAGGGCTGCTCTTGTTTTATTCAGTCGGGATCATAAATTACGAGTTTAAACACACAATGAAAGACGCTTAACAAGAAGCTAACGCGAGATTGAGAGGCCCCGCCCAGAAGCACGTTCGCCTTCCGGTCGAGCGGTACTTGACAACCAATCCTGCCATGGTTCCGCCCTCCTGCGTTCATCCGTCCCACGGTCCATATCGTGAGCTGGTGTGCTCTCCTCCCGAAAGCCCCACTTCACCACTGGGTATAACCACGGTGCTCCCACCTATCAGGACTTGGAGAAAGACTCGGTCTACCCGAGAAGTGGGTTGTACTGGCTACACTCGACTCGCATTCCATTCACGGACGTGCTCCGGCCCGAGTACGAACTATACTTCTGCTTCTTGGTCTCTTCCCACGTATCGGCGTCTCTTGGTGTGTCAGAGTGTTTATGCCGGAGCAGCAGTGCCGCTGGTAGACAGTTGAAGAATCGTACAGCGCCGTAAATTCGAGAACAATCGTCAGAGTCAAGTAACTCGGGGAATGTGAAGAGTAGAAAAGAAAATATGAATAAGTGAAGTTTTGGGTGACAGTGAAGTGGTGGGACCTGTATACGATGATTTGAAAAGGATATTTATCAGAGATCGAAGGTGTTTCCGAGTACAGAGTGAATATATGATACGGATATATATTATTATAAAATATATTGACAAGGGAATAGAGGGGCTACAGTGTACAGTGATTTTTCATCTCTCATACATAGGAGTATAATAATCTCTAAAGAGAGCGCCATACTGTAATTCGATTATCGTGATTTATTCGACCAATAATATATCGACCGTATAATTCTGTGCTGTAGTGCCGTACAGTCGTAAGGTAATTTTTATTGGGGGTGACCAAAGAAAAAGGGGGAAACAACAAATTTTCAAACGTACACAAACCCGACTATTTTTTCTCCAATTTCGAATTATGCGTGGTGCGAGATGGTGTGCTCCCTGACTAAGAACTGCGAGGGTGAGTCCGCCGCTTTGGTAGGGCAAGAGAACGCGAGATCAGAACATCCGGAAATCGTAGACGGTGCTACGATGTCTTCCTTGAGCGACGCTCATAGACGCAGTCATTTAGAGGGTGAAAGAAGTTCGTCGGCTGGTTCGTCCTTGGGTTCGTGTTCGCCTCCCCCACCTTCCAGTCACTCACCGCCGCCGCCCAGACCACCCTGGCTTCATGACTTTCATGCGGCAGCCTCGCCTCACGTGTTGCAATTTCTTAATCTGAGCGCCGCCGGCGGTGGCATGCTCGGCAGCCAACCTCTGGCTGCCCTTCACTCCATGGCTGAGAGGAGTCATCAACAGCAGCAGCAGCAACAGAGTCTTCAACTTTCTGGTATCACTGGACAGATCGGAAATCAACCTCAGGGACAGGCTTCTCCCACGGGAAGTGGTAAACACTCACCGGCTACCTCCATCACTTCCGTCGGCAGCAATCCGCATGGCATCGATACTATATTATCGAGACCAGCTGCTACTCATCCTCAGGCACCGGTTTCTGCGTCGCACGGTTTACCTCCTGCACCTCATCCACAGCCGCTCACTGCACCGCGTTATGCGATGCATGCTGGTTTCACTGCCTCCTCAGGTTGGTAACTCTGATATTTTTTTACCTAATTTTTGTAATATAGATACAAAAATTTTTACGCAAAATATTTTTTTACTACTTCCTCAGAATTTGGTTATTTTGTCGAATTACAATTAAATACTAAATTTTAATATTTTAATCGGTATTTAACGTTATTTTGTACCGTGAGCATAATGATCAATAAAGTATTTATTGCTTTCTGGTTCCGTTTCGATTAGATTAATTCCAATCGTAATTAATTAACGTACACGTGGTCTGTATCGCTTATCAATCCGTAATTGATTATTCCATGAGTCTGTCGGTTGAGATAAGTGCCTAAGCGACGGCAGATGAAATTTTATGTTTTATATGGAAGACCGTACACGAATATTATTAAATTTGTCTAAAATTTTAATAAATATTAAACGTTGATCCGAATTAAATTTTTATTGTCAATTTTTTATTCTAACAATGCATACTCTTCCAACTCGTTATGAATCCCATCTAATTCCAGGAATGGGTCAATTTCAACAAAGAACAGAACCACGGCATCCCGCTGTGTATTGGCCAGGACTCCAGGGATTAGTTAGCGACCCACTGGCATGGCGGGCGCGATTGCATTCGCGTGAGTATACTAATTGAAAAATATATATAAAAAATTATAAAGAAGAAAACGAAAAAATCGTCAGCCATAAAAAAGAAAACCGCCGCACGGTATCGGGTAACGTTAAAAATTTTCAAATTTGAACGCATCCCACTGGCAACCCTTAAAACAAAAGAATTCAAAGGTCTGCATAAAGCCTATGGTGAAGTCCCGTAAGATGAATAAAAGGAGAGAACGAAATATCGTAGACATATAACATTTATGGTAACCATGAGAGGGCGTAAAATCACGCGAATAAAGTAACATGCGACATGGAAGATCGGGCATCCCCTTTTAAAAGGATAGATCAGCCCTCGCGGTAACACATGTGGCAGGCTGGAAGGAAGGAAGGAACGACGGTCTGATGATATATATATACAATATATATACATACGTGAATATATATATATACATATGAGGGATAAGAGGGTGGAACGGTGGTAGTCTGTTTGCTGCGGCGTTGGATCCAGAATATCATATTCAATATCGCAAAACCACCCTCCTGCCATCACCCTCGACCAACCCCCCTACCAACTATAGGAGCTGACTGTTCTCTTGGTTTTCCTCACCTACGTGAATAACTCCGTCGATATTTTAACTGCTGCCTGGCAGGACGCTTACACATGGTTATACATATAGTGCGTGCATCTAGATATATGATATATCGTACGTGTATATATCTCTGAGCGTATATAATATTTTATGACATATATATATATCGAAAAAACGTCGATCGGGCAAAAGTAAGAGCACGTGGAAACGAGCGTCCCGGGAGTAACCCTTACTCCCTTTATATTTATATACGTTGATACCCCAGGTGAAAGAGAAGAGGGGAAGTTCCGTAAAGATCTCTCAGCAAGAGCGGGTAGCACCTTCCTCGTGTAAGATGGGGTTTATAGGTTAGGAAACGAAAAGAAAAGTGATAAAGTTTTCCAAGGCAAAAAAAAAGATAAAGGATGCTGACCGTATCAAGAACGCGACCATCATTGCCATATGTGGTGTTAAGGGATGGTGCTCTGTCCGTAAGGGATGAATGGATGAATATCACAGTCATGGGTGTACCTATCTATCCGTGTATCCATATATGTATATTTATGTAGTATACCTACCTACCTATCTACCTAGTCGACTAGGGGGGGGGGGTCCTGACTGCCTACTGTACCTTGCGTATTGGGAATGGAGGGTGGAATGTGGTAAGCAGCTCGTTAGAACCCTCTCCAGGCCGGTCTGCCATTATTGCCTCGTTCCGTATTCCGTTACAAATTGCTTTATTAAATTAAAGTCCCAGGCTATTCTCCCTGCTGGATACTGGCTGGCTCAGTCGCCCTTGATTCCCTTTGGTTGCGCTGTGTTTTCATCCCCCTGTGTACGGGGATGACCACGAAAGTCGTTCTGCGAGTACTGGGTGATTTTCATGCTTGGACTAAAATGATAATAATAATAATAGATAATTTTGAAAAATTTTTTTACATACCAGTCTGACAGTGTTATGGGATTTTTTTTATTTTCAGTGTCACAACAGCTCGGCTGTCAGCAAGCGATGACAGGGGCTGCCGGGGGCGGCGGTGGGGAACACGAGGGTGGTAAGAAGAAGCATACGAGGCCGACCTTCAGTGGACAGCAGATATTCGCCCTGGAGAAGACGTTCGAGCAGACCAAGTATCTGGCTGGTCCTGAGCGAGCTAAGCTTGCTTATGCCCTGGGGATGTCTGAGTCGCAGGTCAAGGTAGGCTCCTCCTTGATATTTTTATAGGGGATTGGTATTTCAAAATAATATTAAGGATAAGGGATGTGATAACGTAAAGGGTTGATCCACGCCATGGGCGAAACTTCCTGTGCGCCGTTGTCGTTGCTCGTTAGCGAGATTTTAAGACCGTCAAAAAACAGCTTTACTCCATCAAGTTCCTAACGAGGCGTCGACCACCACAGTCACTGCGTAGGGACAAGAGAGGTAAAAAAAAGCTTGAGAGAGACGTCCCGACGCCTCGTTGAGTGGGGTTTTACACGTACCGCTAAGCCAGGGGGTGGCCATGCGAAGGAGGGTAGGAGAAACAAAAATAGGGAACCCGCGTACCGACGAAACGTAGACGTGACGAGCTTTGCGACACCTGCGTCATCCCTGCGTCGGGACGTGTCCCAAGTGAGAGGAAGCTGGTAGCATTCAGGGGAGTAAGAGAGTAACAGAGCAGACAAGCGTATCTACCAAGAGGAGAGCATGAGATCGACAGAGAGGGTAGCGAAGAAAAAGAGAATAAAAAAAGAGACACGAAACCCTCCCAATGAGCGGCTCCTCGACTCCGTCTCGGTTTTCATCCCCTAACCATCCTTGATACCTATAGACATCAAGGCCTCTCCCCGATCCTCGACAAACCTCTCCCCACCCCCCAAAGCCCATCCACCCCCTAGCGATACCCCAGAGGGAAGCGCGAGCGGGCTGTCGATGTAGCGCTGTCATTGGCTCGTTCCGCGCCGCCATATTTACATTTTTATTGAAAGCTACAAGTCCGCGTCGGTGAGTGATGGGGCGGGGGAGGGGGAGCCACCGTCGGGACGCCACTAGCGCCACGAGCGGAGAACACGACTCTAAGTTCAGACCCGTGGCAAGTTCTTCGGGATTTGCGCTCCACTGCTAGGCTGCTGCCTCCCTGAGGGTGGGCTGGGGGGAGGCTGTATAACATAGGATTCGACCACTAGGTATGAGGAAGGGAACGCTTACGAGGACAGGAAGGCGGGATAAAGACGCTGAAGAAGGGATTCGCGATGGAGGTGTATATATATATATATGTACAGATGAACGTGAAAGAAGGAAGGACGGTCTAGCATCGTGATGGCTTTGGCTGGGAATCGAAGAAAGAGAGAGAGAGAGAGAGAGAGAGAGAGAGAGAGAGAGAGAGAGAGAGAGAGAGAGAGAGAGGCGTCGGTATTCAATTACCTTGGATTTTCTTCGTGAAGCGTCGATTCACTTCTTCGTATACCTTATAGCTTGTATACGGAGGTATACTGTGCTTTGGTGTAGACGCGCTACGCTGGCGCCATCTACAATGCTGGGGACGAGATTGCCTTTTCGAATTCGGAGACCGTTACCGTACTATATCCCCTTCGGTACCCTCTTTCCTCTAACCTCACTGTATTTCCTTCACTCGAAAAATATCGTAGGACAATCCTTAACCCCCTGGAAAACGAGCATCATTTCTTTCGCTTATTTCTCGAGCTACGTTTATAGGCTGACATGCGAATGAGACCGTGACGCGTATGACGCGCGACGCTGCGTGCTTCTGTCGTAGAAACGCTTGCTGGCGCTTCTGGACATTGCGTAATATTTACAAGGGTTACCAAAGTCACTCGTTGAAATTTTTATACAGGTATATTGGGTACACTGTGAAATTTTAAAATTTTTGTATATCCCTTTATCCGTATTATCCACAAGACGATGCACTTTGTCAATTGGCGAGAAATCGACGATAACAGCAGGAAGCGTCCCCCGCCGTAAATTCACGACTATTAAAACCTGCGAAATCTAACCTGGGAGGAGACTCACCCCTCGATGAGATCGACTTTCCGCTATTAACGACACCCCCGGGAGTTCCATTAGTGTCTGACGCAAGGGTGGATCATTCGTACGTAGATATAATACAATGAGGGAGTATGCGCCGAGAGGGCCTGGGGGGGATTGATATTTTTGAGTTAAGAGACCCTAAAAAAATTTTTAATTTCATAACATTCATATATCATCTTAAAACAAGGGTAGTCGCTACGTAGTACATCAGGGGGTGGTTTCGATATCATCCCTTATCCAGACTCTTGTACCAACTACAAACGTAAGACTGTCGGATGTTCACTGGGAAAAAATCGACTGTTTAGGTGAAAGAGGGGGGGGGGCTGATCTGTCGCATCAAGGGTGGAATATGCTATACTCCGTGCCGTCCAAGGGATGGGAGACGCGTACAGGATTGTTTACGGCAGGGTAATCTCCTCGTCGACGGATATCAATACCGATGACGTCAATTAGTACCAACGAAACCCTTCGCCTCTTCGTCGAGCTGCCCAATTTTCCTCTCCGACCCCCTTTCGCCCCCCCCCGCGCTCATGTATCATCATGGTGGTCTATGTTCGTGTCTATATATACATATATAGCTATAGTCAAACGGCAACAGAGCAATGGCATGCCGTGGCATGGCGTGGCGTGATAAATCACAGCAGCAGGCGGTCTGTGTTCCCTTCATTCACCTCCCACACGCACCTCATCCCCCTCGCAATTGGACCACATGCACTTGACTCCATAATATTCGGCCGATTCTACTTTTACGATCGATTTCCCTGTTCGCCATTATTACCCTTAGGCAAGTTTGCCCTCTGAACCCCCACGCCCCTTAATATATATATTTTTAATCGTCAACTCTTGTAATCCTCCAAATCGTCGACACAAGTATTGACGCTGAATTGGAATGAACTTTTGGTGAAGGTAGAAAAATTTGTTTAAGGGTCGTTTTGGATTTTTGGGTGATCGATAAGAGGAATATTTTTCATGAAGGGCGAGGGACGAGTGGGGGTTGGAAATTTCGAGATAAGACGACAGCAGAGAATGGGTGCGGTTTGGTACCGAGCTAGAGGGAGAAAGATGGACCCGAATCCCGGATGCTGGGAAAAGTCGGTGGCGACCAGAGTCGAGGCAATAAAATGTTCTGCCGCGAAATTTGATTCCAGAATAAAAATGGAATATCGGGAATAACACGAATCGGTGAAGCCATTTGATCTCCGTCGGGTAGCCGAGTAGTGGCGAGGGGGTGGAATGGGTGGGTAGCAGCGCGGCGGGAGGGGTGGGAAACATATCGATATGGGGAAACGGCACGAGAGTGGAATACAGAGGAGGGTATTATCGCCAACAGCCAACCGTCCTCCTCGGTTCTCTCGGGCCGCATTACTTACAATTTTGGAAGATCATT